GGTGCCTTCTAACGGCTTTTACAAAGGTTAGCGGGTTACGACATCGTTCATGGCTTATTCTCCCTTAGTTTTTCTTTCTTGTAATCTGAAATGTTGCTTGGACGAATTGTTTCAAAAGATGCTTCGATTTGCAGGCTCCGAAGAAGGCGAGTGCGCCGAAACGTTAGCCGAATAAATCGTATATCAATCTCGGAAGCTTGAACAGAAGCAATTACAACTGTACATACAATCATGCCGAGATTAATTGAGAGTCGTACATGGAATTCCTGAATTGATTTTCTGAGCTGTTCACAACATTAGCTAATGAAATCTACAAAGTTGAGTTACGCAATGGTTGCGGTCTCAAAAAATCCAGCTCACATTCTTTCCGACGTCATTGATTATTTGTGCCGAAGGACCCGTTGCGGAATTTCATCGAAGCTGCACCCCCAGGGTCAACCGTCGCGTTCGCACTTTTCATAATTTTTGCGACCACCCCCCCCCTTCCTGGGGGTCTCGGACGGACACCCCGTTGTTGTTTTGTTAGTGAACAGGTACATCAACATTAGATAATGAAACTCCCTCGAGAGACGGCGGTTAGCCTAGGAGCACGTCAGGTTGCATCCAGGAGGTGAGCGAACGCGGTAAAAAGGTATTCGGAGGAATAAAATTTAAAAAAAATTGAAGGCAAAAGGGGCTTTCCTAAAAGGGCGGAAGTGGTGTAGTGGCAAGTGGCACGCTTACCACGCGAGCGGTCCGGGGATCAAATCCTGGGTCGTGAGTCGCCCGGGCCAACCAAGCCTTCCATCCCTCCGGGGTCGGTTAATTGGTACCAGACTTGTCTGGGAGGATAAAAACACTGACTTGTACATCGGCTGGCCCCCGCAAGTCATTGTATAGGCCACATCGCATTCAAACGCCACTACGAATGTACAAATGGAAGTAGAATGCGTGCCGCATCCCAAAAAGGGATTGATCAACGGCAAATGCTTTATCCTTTTTTCTTAAGATTCCTAGAAACTTACATTTCCGAGCTCAGGTAGGAATGTGCATGATGTGGGCTTCCGAAATTTGCAAAGGTCATCCAGGCGGAGAAATGCATCTGTCACCTAGTGGAAAACCTAAATTTCTAAAAAGCGCTCTCCATCTGTGAAAGGTCTCAACTTTCTCAGATGCGACCTTTCGGATAGCAGTAATAAGATTCAGACACTTCAAATATTTTCCTATCTACGCAGCATCAAATGATTTGCGATCGTCTTCTCAATGTATAAATTTCCCCTTTCGCACTTCCATCGAGCGAGTGCGGCTTTTTGGGCTCTTGATGACCATATCCTTCTTCCTTTTCATTCCTGTGACCATCTCTCGGCATGGCAAGAGGGTACAAGATTAGCCTTTTCTTACAAGCACCAAATCGTTTATCGAAGTTCACTCTTTGAAAAAAAAATCACATGTTTACACTTTTTCGAACACTGTTATGGTCAATTTTTTGAAAACGCGAGTGTTCAGTTTTCATCACATTTTCCTTTCCTTCGTATGGCAAACTTCTGGCGTCTCAAGGACACCAAGCCTTTAAGAAAGTATGTGGGCTTTCTTAAAGGCTTGGTGTCGTCTCGAAGTTCACTCTTCAAAAAAATCATATGTTCGCACTTTTTCTCCTAGTTTCTGAGCAGCAACTTCCTCCTTGTAGCCTGGGGCAAGCTCGTGCTTCATCGATCTTAGGGAGAGAATGAAACAGCTAAACTCGAATTGAAGCAGTTGTGTTTAATTTCCACGAGCACATGTTCTAGCGTATCTTTCTCCCATTCACCTATCAGTAACGATCAGGGTCAAGCGAGGCGTCGAGGGAAATTTTGAATTACGACCCCCCCCCCCCGCCAGAGGCCGAAGTCCATGAAACGACCCTCCAAAAGCCGAACTATGAAAGGTTGTTTAATTCTCCCCAAAAACTGTTCATAAAAAAAGCCCTGCTACCCCACCCTCCACCAAAATTCGTTCAAGAAGTACAAAAGCAGAAAAAGTCAAGAAATATCATTATCAATGAGTCTACCAACAAATGGAGCAAAACACGAATTAGACATAAAAAAGCGGAATATGGAAGCATCTCTTTCCCTGATTTCCTTTTCTCCTACCAGTTTTAGTACTATACAGAGTATGCTTCTCAACCTACGTGTTCACCTTTCCTTTGGAAGAAGCCTTCTAATCAGCTCTGAGTTGAGTGATCATGGACGTTGACCGTGGAGCAGCTTATTTACTATTGAAATTTGAACAAATATTCAAATGATTATAACTTTCTTCAAAGTTGACGAATTTTCAATCTGAAAGCAGATTTGGGAGTTTTGTGAAGAGCTCTTTCTAATCAGTACTGAAATTACAAAATTATATAAGAAATAACAAATTTAGATCAATTAACGAGGAAAATTCATGATGAGCACGAGTTTTTACACTTTCCGAAGCCATAACTTGCTTCATTTTCATCAATCTGAAAGTTAATAACAAAACTAGTAGATCCTCCATGTTCACCTTTCGTGAAACCTGGGCATTTGATGTTGAACAGTTGTTTTTTGTTTGTGTGCCACACAGGTTTTGTACGGTGGAATCTTTATTGAGCCTGACGTTTCGACTATATCGCCGTCCTCAAAGGCCTGAAAGCGTATTGAAGGGAAAGCAGAAGAAAAGAAAGAAGAAGAGAAAGCACGGTCGCACCGCTTAGTAAGCACAAAAGGGAAAGTCATGCTGGCAGTGATTTGACGTAAAGTGTACAATATTAGCTTACGAAAACGATATTGGTGCAAGAAAACCCTTGAAGCTTTCTATATAAGGCAACGTAATCCTTGCATGAATAACAGAAATGAATGCATCTCCATAACTGCCGACTTCTTACCCTATATCCCTCTCTGTGAACTATGATAATGAGAACGTCATGCACTGCACGTACACTCTTTATAAGCAGTGCACGACTGGTTGTCTCATTTATTCTACTGTCTCTGGAGGGCATCAAGGGAGGCTGTTGAGCGAGAAGCGGTGACGCTGGTGGAGTTGAGGTAAGCGACCCAATCTTGGAGTTCCCACTCCTTAGTTCATTAGCCTACGTGGTACTTGGTCAAATGTGGATCCATATTGAGCGGATAGGTAACATTTGAGCTTTTCAAAACGCTTTCAGGCCTTTGAGAGGACGACGATATAGTCGAAACGTCAGGCTCAATAAAGATTCCACCGTAAAAAAACTGTGTGGCACACAACAAAAAACAACTGTTCAAATACTAGTAGACTTTTGAAGCTAACTGGAATGGCTTGATACGTCCAGTTTTGAAAAATGGCTTCGTTGAGGATTTTTGCCTGAGTACCGCCGAAAGGTACTTTTTCGCTAATTGGCACTATTTCAACGACTATGGCTTCTTTCAGGGGCGATTTTGTACAAAAATGGGAGCAAGTCTTGGAATCCAAGGGCTTTTTTCTTTTCAATAAGTGTAAAACTGTTTGGCGATCTCAACTTTAACACTTATATGTTCATGAATTTGACGCTGAAGGCTGCATTTCTTGTTGAATAGTGGACTCCTCCCTGTAATTTCACACGGACCCTTTCAGAATCCTCTTGATTTTTCCTGAATTGAGATTTTTTCCAGAGCCGTAGTTGAAGCGCGCGCAACTGGATGGGTCCACTCTGGGACGTGCCGTGTGCTTCACATCCCTTCATATTGGTGGTCTCGTTTGGAAGATGTTCTGTCCTCCGACAAGGGTGATCCTACTGCAGCATTCGGCACGATTCTTTCTCGCTTCCTTTCAGCGGTCCATTACGGTCCCCCTGCTGACCTGTCGAGAATTCCTCAACGCATGCTTGACCCTAGTGACGATATTGCCACGTCCGCCGCGCGCCCCGGGTTTGCGACCCGCTCCCCAGTTCATGGGCGAAATGCAACCCAATTGTTCGAATAGTTTGACCAGACGATTGACCCTGCCTGTAGGCCATTTCATTGCCAGCAACAAGAACAACGGTCATTGGGAGTCATGATGGAACGCTGCCATTGTCGCTCTTGCCCTGTCACTAGAACGGAGCGTAGCGTACCTTTGCAGATAACTCTGCTCTGCTAACGGTAGCCATAGACCACCTACCTTAATTTGTGTCGACAAGACGATTTCGAGAAATTACTCGTCAAAATGCGTTTCGAAGCCTTCGCTCTCTTTGATTTTCTCCCACACTGCAACCCAATAGTTTCTTCAAGATTCAAAATTTCGGTTTGCGTTGCAAAAAGAACTGCTGGTCAGTCTAGGAGCCTTGCCCGCTGATCTCCTCCGTAAACACTGGCAGTGGCTGCTCACAGCGGCACCAAAGTGATTCATGCTAATAGACCCTTTCGATCTCTCTAGCCGTAGTAATGCGTTTTCTGCTTCTGTTAAAAGAAAGATTCTACGAGATGGCCGGAAAGAAGGGACTTACCTTGTCTAAAGGCAATCGCGTCTACTCAGGGTGAAGGAACATGCGCGTTCCACAGCGAAGGGCATGATTTCAAGCGGCCGAGCACGGGCAATGCTTTGTTTTCTTCATTTGTGCATCTCTGCCCATCTCTTCTTGTTTTCTGACGTGCTCGATTTTCATCTCATTTTCTTTAGGAATACTGCCAGACTTGCTACTTCTACTACAGGCGCAAAAAAAGCGCGCTTCAAGAGTGGAGTATAGGGCAAAGCGATGAAAAACTCTACCTTTTGGACAGAGGAAAGAGACAGCGATGAGTGTCCACTGGCGGAGGAAGTGCTTCCAGTGTCTTCATAAGCAACAAAAATTCCATGACAGTGAAACGATCTTTTGTGTTGTGGATTAAAGTCGAATTTGTTCCTCTGTGCTTTTTCTATGTGCAGTAGTCACTCGAGGTTGGACTCCTCGCTAAGAACTTGCCAATTTTGATCCAATTCAAGTGAGCGTATCTCGGTTCAGATAAAGCGTTCTCAGTCGAATTGTGGACCACTAATAATCATGCATTTGTTTACGAGGAGCAATTAATAAATAAATAATTCGGTTGTTGGAAATGGCGAAATTCAAGAGGAAAATAGCTAGGCAAATGTGTTTCATTAGTGAGCATATTCTCCCGGTGGTCTATGTAGCATGGCCTTCTCCGCTGCCTTATCGAAGCAGTACTAAGTCAAGAGTGGTACAAGTAGGGGTCACCACGTTGGCAGCTAAGAACCGCCAGAATTCAATTTCGAAAAAAATGGTTATCGATTGATATCGATTCCACTATCATATTTCCAGTGACGATTGGACCGTATGGAGAACAAGTTGACGGTAATTGACGATTTCTTTCCTCATGAAACAAGCATGTGTTCTGCAATTTAATTCTCACTAACAAAACGAGTGCGATTCCGAGTGTGATACTATTTCAAGAGTGAATAACAGCCTATGTCCAAATAGGTCAGATTTGGCCAGTTCCCCCTTCTAGATCAACGTGAACTTATTTGCGTGATTTCTGCCACATGGGCTTGTTTTTCGGGCACGTGATCGAGTGCGAGGTAAAGAATGTTTACTTAGAGAACCCACTCACTACAAGCTCTTGTAAAAACGTTTTTAGTGCACACAGGTTCCCGTTTCTTTCCCCCTCCCCCTCACCGGTAGTGTAAAAAAATCTCTCTGCCGATCAACATTCATCAGGAAACAACGAAAGATGCAGGCAGCTCCGCCAGTACGGGTGGCCACGAGATTTACAGGCCGCTGTCGCGCACGGTCGCAGCGCGTCTGCGGCCGGCCATGAGCGATCGATTTGGTAATATCTAATCGAGCACTAGAAGAAGAATGCGTGATACATAGTGCTCAATTAGTTTTGGAGGACGCAAAGCACTACCGCCTTGTGATCGCACGCCTAATTGTTCATAACACTGCGAAATGGAAATGAGCAGTGTTAGGTGCTTCGTCATAACCATGGAGTACTCGGGTGTCCCTCAAGAGGCCCGCCGCGCGGCGAAGGAAGAGACGCAGACGCGGCAAAGGACGAGTCGCAGCGCATACTGTAGCGGTTAGGCGTCAGGTTAAATAGAACCATACTACGTCTCATATCGCACAGCACGCGCTGCGACTCGTCCTTTGCCGCATCTGCGTCTCTTCCTTCGCCGCGCGACGGGCCTCTTGGGGGACACCCGGAGTACTCTCCTGAGCAAATATGCGGCTTCATACCTGCACTGCGCTAGTTAGGAGGGTTCCAGGCTTTGTGACCAAACGCTTTGGATTCGTGCGATTTGCCAGCATTTCGTGCAATTCTTTGTGCCCAATTGCACAGAGGAGCCTGTGTATATCCCCGAAAAGTCAGTTAGTGTCTGGTTTCCTGAATAAGTTCTACACCTACGGTCTTATTTGGGAAATCGGGAACGAGCTGGTCCTCTAGGGACAGTTGTCTACCTCGAGGATATCGAATGCTACGGATTGCTCGAATCGCTAGCGAACTGCGCGACCTGTTAGCGATTGGACGCAGAGTCTGTCACCTACCTTACGCCGCATGTCGCCGGGGGCGAACTGCTCGACCTTTTGTTTAACCCATTAACTACCAGTGGTATGCGTATCGCGCTGTTGTTGTACATAATGCAGCTCTGGTAGCCAAAGAATTAAGTTATGCGCGGTCCCGAAAGCTCCTCACAAGCTGTCATATCATAATGGCTGGAGGGCGGTGCGATCAAGACAACGTCCTTACATGTCATGGTGGAGCAGCTGAGCGCACGGGGGGGGGGAGGTGGTCGGTTGGGACCACTTCCATACGCACTTTGGCCAATTACGTTCAACGGCTTCGTCAAAATCGCACCGCTCTCTGGTATCGTAGCCACTGCCTTTCGAAATTTTGCTTGGTGATCATGCAGTGTATCAGCAATCCCGTGGAGCTAATCGTTTTGTGATAGTGCGCGCTTCTGCCCATTAGTTGCTGTACATAATTTTTTACTAGGGTCTGGGCTATCGGAAGATACGGGGCATTGTGGTGACAGTGCATTCAGGACCGCGTTAGACATCTCCTTCTTTGTTGAAAGGGGTTGAGACTTGGGGTGGAGAGAAGAGACTTCAAAGTACATGATCAGTTTTCAGAATCCTCGGGTTTCATCCTTCTTAGGCTCAGTTCTAAAAGATGCCCCTGTATGTTGCGATAGCACCACTGGCTAGATTTCATCCTGAATACATTCTGGGTTGACCGTTTTATAACCGTACGCCTAAGCGTTCCCTGGAATGCACGAGTTGTTGAGTAATGCGCATTTCTTCACTGAAAAATCGCCCTACTGTAAGCGAGGAAAAAGCCTTGCTCCTGTAGCTGGTTTTCATAGTTCTTTACCTTTGTTTAACAGAGTTTTGTGGTGAACACAACGGCATGAATTCATCTACTAACCACTACAGTAATCTTTCTACCGTATTTCTCTTGCAGGCAGTGAAGAGGACATCGAAGCCATGGAGCAGTTGGCGCACAATGCGCAGAACCTCATGCTGGCGGTCAAGGACACAGTTCGAGCCGCTGAAGCGGCCAGTATCAAAATCAAGACCAATTCTGGTCTTCGCCTTTCGCTGGGTTCGCAAGCCAATGTGGTCCAACTTCTAACCTCTCTCTCTCGTCCAGAAGCCGCCGAAGTCGCCGCAACTATAAACGCTCAATTCCTGTCGCGCGACATGTCACATGCGCGTCCTTGACCACTCCAAATCCTTTCAGTCGATCACGTCTTCTCGCTACTCGTCTCTGCTTATTGATTTTTGATAGTTGTCCTAGATTACTGTCACGCATAATATTCAGTTTTTCATTATGCTGGTTGATCGCTAAAGTGCCTTTTTTTATTATCATCCATATAGTCCGCTCACTGCACTTTGTTCCATGTGCATTTTGTGCAATCACACGCGCACCTACCGTATGTCAAATCACTGCCTTTGCCACACAGCACTCACAAATGAACTAATCGATTATCGATTATCATCGACGAAACTAGTTAATCTTGAGCTCACGCCATAACTTATACATTATATGAGTCATTTTGTACATGTTTCGAATTCTTATTCAACGCGACAGAGAGACACGAGACACTACAAACACACAGTGAAAAAGAGAAAGATGTTTTTATATATTTTTATGTGTACATGCTGCGAATGAATATTTGTAAGAAGGACTGCTGATGAAAATTGTATCCGAACGCATTGTGTTCCGTGTGCATCACCGGGAACGCACACGGTCATTTAACGAACATTCTCATACTGTGTGGCAATGCGCGCCTTTAATTAGGTCCTATGAAATCTCATGAAGCATTTGACTGCTCTTACTTCGAGTTCCAGAGGTTTTTGTGGCTTCAAGGTTTCACATCCAGTAGTAAAACGATTCTTCAGTACGTCAAAGTAGTTCCACTGTAACCCAAGGCGCTGCTGCGCAATGTGACACGTTTTTGACTGCTCCTTTGTCGTTTTCTTGGCGCTGTACTACAAGGCCTAAGTTCACGGAGCACTCTGCTATAAAAGGTGAAGTATGGCAGAGGTCTATTCAGCCACAAGACGGGAAACTCGCACATGGGAAGTTCTCACCCTAGAAAGCGCGCAGTGTTCGCTTCCTCACGCAAGCAGCAAAGCGAAAACATCCCCAATCTTGTATGGTTGATCTACAGCGAGTAGCCGAGGAGTGTGAGATGAACTGCATATGGTGGATCCGTTTACTGCGAACTTCTAGTAAGGTTTACTTAGGACGCCAGCAGGAGGACGTGAACTTGAAGCTTGGCACACATGCAAGTAAAGGGAGCGAGATCAACCGCGTGTTCGAACCATTCGAACGAGGGGGTTGCATTTTGCCTATGGAACGGAGGGGTCGCAAGCAGGCTCAAGCGTGCGTTGAGGAATCCTCGACATGTTGACAGAGGGGGGTCGTATTGGCCCGCTGAAAGGGCCGGATTGATGCAGTAGGATCATCACTGTCACAAACATCAAGGATCGAATCGAGGGCCAGAGGATTTCCTATAACAAGTTTCCCCACATAACATTTTCGTGATTCAAAGGTGTCTGCAGAGTAATTCTTAGTTACTTCAGTGTTTTATCACCACACAAGTTAAAGAATCCGAAATTCGCACGTTTTCCAAGGAGATATTTTATCTTTCAAGTGAGTCCTCGAATCTGAAGGGATGTGAAGCACACGGCGCATCCCAGAGTGGGCCCAGTTGGTTGCGCGCGCTTCAACTACGGCTCTCTGGAGAAAGAATCTCAATTCAGGAAAAATCAAGAGGATTCTGAAAGGGTTCATGTGAAATTACAGGGAGGAGTACACTATTCAACAAGAAATGCAGCCTTCAGCGTCAAATTCATGAACATGTAAGTGTTAAAGTTGAGATACGCCAAACAATTTTACACTTTTGAAAGAAAAAAGTTCTTGGATTTTTCTGCTCTCATTTTTGTGCAAAATTGCCCTCAACGTGGCCATTTTGGAAGTACTAGGCGTGTTGATCAGTTCTAGGAAGTGTCAAGTAGAGCGAATCTTCTAGCTTATCATGACGAATTAACTTCCTAATTTGATGAAAATGAACCGAGTTATGGCTTTGGAAAGAACCCGCACTCATCACGAATTTTCCTCGTTAAAGGAATCCTCCACGGAAAAAGCTCCGCCCTCATTACCACAGAAAACGATACCTTAAAGGAATCTTCCACGGAAAGAGTGATCATTTTGTCTTGTGTGTAGGATTAGTATTATCGAAACTAACGCTTATGTTCCGTTCTTTTTGCTATGCTCATGAGGCTAGGGGCCTAAGGGGTATCGTTTTTCTGTGGTAATGGAGGCGGAGCTTTTTCCGCGGAAGATTCCTTTAATTTTGCAAAAATCCCCGACGTTGCCATTTTTAATTAGTGGACGTATTGAGCTGTCCTGATGACCATTGAATAGAGTCATAACACCTGTAAGCATGGATGCTCTGGTGTCAACGCGAGCTAGGTAACGGAATCGACGACTTTTGCGTTCTAACGCGCCTTATCAGCCCTTATCAGTTGCTATCGCTTTCATCATGTACCACCAATGTCCCGGGACCACCCCACATAACACTTGTAAGTATAGACGCTCTAGTACCAATATGAACGACAAAACGAAATTGGCGATGCTCGCTTTCTAGCCCCTCTTATCAGCTATTATCAGTCGTTATCAGTTCCTATCACGTACCACTTGTGTCCCCATCCCACCCCCTATAACATATGTAAGAACCACTGCGCTATCATTACTGTGACTCGAGCTATGAATTTCCGGTCAAACATACACACACACCAACAGACACACGCTAGCCGCTTATATATAGTAGGATAGGGGGTGGGATGGGGACACAAGTGGTACGTGATAGGAACTGATAACGACTGATAATAGCTGATAAGAGGGGCTAGAAAGCGAGCATCGCCAATTTCGTTTTGTCGTTCATATTGGTACTAGAGCGTCTATACTTACAAGTGTTATGTGGGGTGGTCCCGGGACATTGGTGGTACATGACTGAAAGCGATAGCAACTGATAAGGGCTGATAAGGGGCGTTAGAACGCAAAAGTCGTCGATTCCGTTACCTGGCTCGCATTGACACCAGAGCGTCTATACTGACAAGTGTTATGTGGGGTGGTCTCGGGACATTGCTGGTACATGACTGAAAGTGATAGCAACTGATAAGGGCTGATAAGGGGCGTTAGA